ACCTGCAATCTGGTCAGAGGCAGGGAAATGAACAGGCACACTGACCAGTTGACTCATGGTCAACCCAGGTGACCTACAGAGAGGAAGGGGGCTGGCACGAGTTACCCAACAGGAAAGGAGGCATGAGCCCAGCTGCTGGGCCACGGCGTGCCCCCACATACGTCCATGTGAAAATTGTGCATAATAGTATCGCGTCCTTGTACCGGTTTTGCTGCATCACCCTGTCCAGTCTTCGCTCACTGTCAAAACCCAAGGCCCCTTGGCCACTGGGAACAGTTAGACCTTTTCTAGGTCACTGTTTAATGACCAGGGACTGCTGCCACACCATGGCCCCACCCAGTGCCCTGAGCTCTGGTTCCAGCTAGGTCCCTCCCCCAAGTTTCTGTGACCCCTCCAGGCCAGGAGTCTTCTGGACTAAGCCCTTTCCACTTGAGGGGTAGGGGCCCCCAGGCCTCTGACAGCAGACCCCATTCCCTTTGCAGGTTCTTCTTGGCTTCTTTGAAGTCAGCCATGATCAAAGGCTGTCGGGAACCACCCTACCCCAGCATCCTGACTGATGCCACCATGGAGAAGCTGGCACTGGCCAAATTTGTGGCCCAAGAATCTAAGTGTGAGGTAAGAACCTGGGGAGGACGGGGGTGTCGTCCCTGACACGCCAGCCCCAGTATTAGAGTCAAGAGGTGCAAAGAGATATCTTTAACACTCCTCCATCACCCACCTGGGAGCGGCCCTCCTACCCCTGGGTCCTGGCCCCCTCCCCACTTGGGTGTGTCCTTGCTCACAGCAGCCACTCCTGGTGCTGGGCTGTCGGTGAGCCTGGCCCAGACTTCACTGCTCTGTCCGCTGCCCCCTCCCCAGGCGACCGCTGTTACTGTGCGCTTCTACGGGCTCGTGCACTGGGAGGACCCCATGGATGAGTCCCTGGGCCCCGGCCCCTGCCACTGCTCACCCCCTGAGGGCACCATCACCAAAGAAGGCATGCTGCATTACAAGGCGGGCACCTCCTACCTGGGCAAGGAGCACTGGAAGGCTTGCTTCGTGGCGCTCAGGTGGGAGCCCCCACCACTGCGGCCTGGGCCTGGCCTGGAGGTTGGGCTGTCAGCTCACTGGGGACAGAGGCCCAGGGGGACATCTCCCTCCTCCACAAGCGCTTTGGGGCAGACATACACTGGGATAGTAGAGCTTCTCTGTAAAGCCAGCCATCTTTGGGGCCCAGGGGGTCCCAGAATGCCTCAGGTATAGACCTGGCCTGGGGCTGCCAAGCCTTAGCTGTCTCCAGGTCTGCCGAGGGGCAGCATCCCCTCCCTTCCATAGGAGGCAGGCCCCTGGCCTCCTTGGTCGCTAGGGTTCAAGGCCCTAGCTTGTGGGGGGTCCCTGGGATCTGGGCTCCGCCTGGCCCCCGTTCCTCGGACAGGCCTCATCCCTGCCATGTTGTGCCCCTGCAGCAATGGGATCCTCTACCAGTATCCCGACCGCACCGACGTCACCCCGCTGCTCTCAGTGAACATGGGGTGAGTGTCCGGGTGATAGAGGGCTGGACAGGTGTCGGGTCTGACGTCACTGCCTGAAGGTCAGGGCTCCGGCTGAGGCTGGGGCCCATGGCTCCTGTTCTCCCTGGCTTGAGCTGGCTCTCCCTCTTGTCAGTTCAGCCTGCCCCCCGCAGCCTTGACTGGTGCCCTGAAGTGTGCTGAGCACTGAGGGCTGCCGGAACCCACGGGAGGGGATGAGGAGAGGCTCCCTCTCAGGGAAGCAAGAGGAGCTCTTGCCTGGAAAGGGTTCAGTTTGATAGGGAAGGCAATCCCCGAGGCTGATGGGGGAGGCAGTCCCTTCCCTGGGAAGCTCCTGACCTGATGGAGAAGATGAACACACACGTTCTTGGAGAAAACTTCAGGCCCATAAGAAGGAACATGAATGAATGTGCAGAATCTGAGAGGGCCGGAGCTAAGAGCTGATTCTCACCCCTCACCTGGCCATGTTTGGATGTCTAGAAGGATCTTGGTGATTCTGGAGATAAAAGGTGTTACACAGAAAGGGGTGGGGCTGCCCAGCAGCTTTAAGCTTCTCCTGAAAGGTGTCTGGACCACATTCTGGTGTCCTCCAGCCCTCAGGACTACAGGGCACACCCTCTGTCTACAGGCCTTGAGCCAACCCCAGGGGATCCAACCCCATGCCACCCCTGCCTCTTCGCTCCCATTTCACCCCTCCTCCTCTGGCCCAGGGGAGAGCAGTGCGGTGGCTGTCGGAGATCCAACACCACGGATCGGCCCCACGCCTTCCAGGTCATCCTTGCCGACCGGCCCTGCCTGGAGCTGAGCGCTGACAGCGAGGCTGAGATGGCCGATTGGATGCAGCACCTCTGCCAGGCCGTGTCCAAAGGGGTGAGCCCCTCCTGCCTCCACCATGCCCCTGGCCTCCGACCCCATCTGGGATCCCCAGGGGCCCTTCCCCATACCCACAGCAGTCATGGAGCAACCTGTGAGGACCAAGACAGGACCAAGACAGCAGACCTCCAGGGGACAGCCCAGGAGCAGACCCTGGAGCTCAGGGCCACCTGTGGCCTAGACACTCCCACTGTCACTCCTATCCCCACCCTTACTCCTGAGGTGGGCAGAGCCTGCCTGACCACTGGAGGATGGGGCAGAAGGGCTGGCTGGGCCCTTGGAGTGGGGAGCTCTGGTGCAGACCTGCCCTGGAAGGCCCCAGCTGGCCTCTCCCCAGCCCCTCTGCCGATGCCCTTCAGGTCATCCCCCAGGGGGTAACTCCCAGCCCCTGCATCCCCTGCTGCCTGGTGATCACCAACGACCGCCTCTTCACATGCCATGAGGATTGCCAGACCAGCTTCTTCCGCTCCCTGGGCCTAGCCAAGCTGGCCGACATCAGCGCTGTCTCCACCGAACTGGGCAAGGAGTACTGCGTCTTGGTGAGCGGGTTGGGGGTGATGGAGGAGGCCCTGCAGAAGGCACACTGTGTCTGCTCACCTGGGCTCCTGGCTCTCTAGGAGTTCTCCCAGGACAGCCAGCAGCCCCTCCCACCCTGGGTCATCTACTTGAGCTGCACATCTGAACTGGACCGATTCCTTTCTGCACTGAACTCTGGGTGGAAAACCATCTACCAGGTACTTAGCTGCCCAGGGCCCTGCAGAGCACAGCCATTCCCTGGGGAAAGGAGCCCCCAGCTGCTCCCAGGACCTGGCCCTACATGGCACAAATGGAGGCAGGAGTGGGGGACTTGGGATCAGCACTGTACCAGTAGCTTTGGGACAGACACGAATATTTAGGACCAAAGGGACAAGACCCTGACTCCCAGTGAGTCTGAGGCTAAAACCTAAAGTAGAGCCCAGGAACGCCATTTCTGACCTTCTTGGTTCCAACAAAAAAGCACAAATTAAGTGCTCGCGGTGGGGGCTGCAGCTGTGCTCAGATGGTGGGGGCACAGGATTGGCAGGACACCTCTCATGGCCCTCGGAGCTCAGCACCAGGGTGAGAGGGCACTCATCCCACGCCTGCACGAATGGGGGTCAGCCTGCAGGAGCTCTGGACTTGCCTGAGGCAGGAGAGTAGTTCCAGACGGCAGACTCTGAGGTGCAGAGCCAGTTAGATCGCAGGGCCCTCCGCTTGGGGCCACCTGAGAACTAGGCCTTCCCAGAGGGAGGAAGCTCTGGAGGCGTCACCACCGTCAGCTCGAGCCCCTCCTTGAAGAGCAGGAGAGTTTCGCAACTTGGACGGAGTTCCAGGGTGAGGCTGCATCTGGGGCCGAGGGGCTCCACGGCCCTCACCGATGCCCTCCACACCCCACCACAGGTGGACCTCCCCCACAAGGCCATCCCGGAAGCCTCCAACAAGAAGAAGTTCGAGGACGCCCTGAGCCTCATCCACAGCGCCTGGCAGCGGAGTGACAGCCTCTGCCGCGGCAGAGCCTCCCGCGATCCCTGGTGCTGAGGCAGAGCTGGCTGGCATCCCAGTGGGGCAGGACAGGGGGCACACCGAGCAGCACATACTGTCATGGCTGTGTCAGCGTGCTGGTGGGGGCCAAGCTTCCATCCGAGTGTTCTGCAGCCCACTCCCATCCTGGGTGGCAGAACCACCAAGTGGGGCTTGAGGCAGAGTCGGCCCCCTCCCAGGGGTCCAGAACAGGTGTTCAACCCCCCTGGGTATCCTGCCCGCAGATAGGCACTGGAGAGTGCTGGGGGCAGAGGGTCCAGGCCCTGTGGGCTCTGCAGACAAACGGCCTCCTTCCTGGGGCCACCGCCTCAGTCCACACCATCACTCCGGGATGGTGATGGAATAACATTGACTCTGAGGGAAGTGGAAGGACTGGGAGGGCAGGAACTTCTTCCTCTCCTGGGTCAGGGCCCAGGCTGAGGCTCGGGCTGCCCTGGGGCCCCTGAGTGCCTGGCCAACATTGTTCATTTTTGAACATCCGCCTGGCTGTGCAAGGAGCTGGAACACTAAGATCCCAGTGCATGTTTTCTCCTAACGCCATCCCCAGACACACTGCTGCTGCCTTCCAGGGCCCGGGGCCATGGACTAGGGGCCGGGCTGGCCCTCGCTGGCTACCAGGAGGCCCTGCATGTCCACGGCCCCCTGCTCTTGCCTCTCCCCAAACCCGTGGCAGTACCCATAGGACCCAGGAATCAGGCCATCTCCTTCTGCAGGGAGCAAAGGGGAGGGAGGCGAGCTTGGAGAGGAGCAGAGCACCAGCCTGGTGTCCATGTTGGCGCCTCCTGGCTGTCCCCTGCTTGGCTGAGCCGGGCCTTTTCCGAGAGCTTTGTCAGGAGCCCTCTGGGGGAAGGGGTCAGGTGGTCTGGGTTTTGTTTTTTAAAATAAAATAGACATGTTATATTGCCAAGACTTGTCACTGGCCTTTGCCTAGGGTGGAGGTGGGGGATCTCCAGCCCCTCCTGTCAGGCCCCTTTCTTCTTCATCCCACAAATATTCTCCATCAGCTGCTCCATGTGACACTGGAGGGATCCCCGCTGCCCCCATGGCACACACCCTCTGGAGGAGCTCAGGCTCTGGGCGTTTCTTGGCCTGACCTTTGCCTCCCTCCTGTTTCCTGCAGTGGCCAGGGGAGGGGCAGTCATCAGCTCCAGTCCTTGGGCATGTCTGCACTGCCAGGGCAGGGCATTCCTTCCTCCCCAGCCTCCCTAGCCTCCCCAGCTCTGGGGGCGAGTGCTGGCCACTTGGGATAAACCCAGAGAATCCAAGCTGTCCCCAAGGCCTCTTCTTGAGCTGCACCCAGGGGCTAGCCAGAGCGTGCCAAGCCTGCCAGGCCAGGGGGAGCTCTGAGGCCCTCAAGCCACTCAGCACTGCAACCCCCAGGGCCTCACACTTGGGAAGAAAGATTGGACACTGGAAGAGATGGGTGTGGAGGTGACAAAGTGGGGTCCCAGGCAGGGCAGCTCTGCCTCTGGTTTTGATTGGGACTTGGTGACATAGGGTGGCCCTGGCAAGAGAGAGCTGTCTTAGGGCAGAGGCCAAGGTGGGCAGGGTGGTGCTGGCCCCCCAGCTGAGCAGCCTGGTGCCCGATAGCAGTGCCCAGGGGTGGGAGGTCTCTTCTCACCAGGCACAAAGTGCCATTTCCATGCCAGGACCTCTCCTTCAGAGAGCCGCAGCCCCAGAGAGGCAGGACGGGGGGACAAGTCCTTACCGGGTGAGCAACCAAAGCCCCAGGTCACTCCTTCAGGCACAATGACCCTTCCTTCTCCATCTCCTACCCACCCACGGGCCCCCAGTCACGGGGGAGGCAGGCCACCTTTTATTGGGTGAAGCTCTGTGCTGGGCACGCTCTTCACACATCCCTAATGCTTCAAAGGACGTCTGATGTAGATATGGATGTCTCTGTTTTACAAATGGAGAGACTGAAGCTCAGAGAGAGGAAGAGACTTGTCCGGGGTCACACATAATAGCAGAACCTTGGCTTCAAGATCAGTTCCACAGGGCTCTGGAGCCCTTCTCTACCTCTACTCTCCCTGGCAGTGGGACCACAGACTGGGAGCCAGATTGGAAGACTGAGGCCAGGAAAGGGGAAGTCAGACAGTGAGGGGTGGGAGGGGGGCAGTTGCCCCTTGCCCAGGGCTCTGAGCTGCAGCAGGACTAGCTGAGCCAGAGGCGGGACAGGGGCTGGCTTTGCTTCAGAGCCAGAGGGAGGACAGGAGGACAAGACGGACAGGAAGAGGTGTCTTGGCTGATTGTCACCTCCCCACCCCCAATCTCCCTCCAGTCCCCGGTGACCTTTCCCCCAGATCCCAGGGTCCAGGCCCGCCCTTGCCGGGAGGTGTGAAAAACAAAAGCAGCTGGGATTGGTCAGAGCTGGGGCAGGGGCGTGTCCCAGGCTCTGACTGCCCCAGAGGCTGAGCAGAGCAGGTGGACTCCTGAGATAGACAAGGGCCAGCCTGGCAGCTACCAGCCTGTCCAATCCGGAATTCTGTCCTCCAGACATGGCCCCAGGCCCCCTCGATCGTCGGCCCTGTGGCCCTGCGGGGGTGCAGACAGCCTAAATACAACCACCCCAAAGCTCGTGCCCATGCCCCTAACTGGGGCATAGCTGGCCCCTGGCACAGAAGCCATGGAGACGGTGGCCCCAGCTGTGGACCTAGTGCTGGGCGCTTCTGCCTGTTGCCTGGCCTGTGTCTTCACCAACCCCCTGGAGGTGGTGAAGACACGGCTGCAGCTGCAAGGGGAGCTGCAGGCCCGGGGCACCTACCCACGGCCCTATCGGGGCTTTGTGGCCTCCGTAGTTGCTGTGGCCCGTGCAGATGGGCTCTGCGGCCTGCAGAAGGGGCTGGCTGCTGGCCTTCTCTACCAGGGCCTCATGAATGGCGTCCGCTTCTACTTCTACAGCCTGGCGTGCCAGGCTGGCCTCACCCAGCAGCCAGGTGGCACCGTGGTCGCAGGTGCTGTAGCTGGGGCACTAGGAGCCTTCGTGGGGAGCCCTGCTTACCTGGTGAGTGCCTCGCCTCCCTCCTCCACCACCCTGTGATCCAACTCCCTCCAGCCTCCGCCGCGGCACCGCGGCTTCCCAGCCTGGCCATGGTGGACTGGTGGACTGGAAGGGGTAGGGCAGACTGGGTGGGGCTGTTCCCTGGAACATCCGGGCCCAGGCCTGGAATCTGGCCCTTGGCCCAGGGCACCAGAGCCTTGCCCTGATCCTCGTTCCTCTGGGGTCCCCACCCCACTGGTCCGGAGCCAGGGGATGGGGCAGAGGGTGGCAGGAGGTGTGTTGGCTCAAACCCAGCACGGTCGCTTGTCTTCCTGTGTGGCCTTTGCAAGCTAAGAGTAAAAGCTTCTATTGAGTGAGGGTCCCCACACATCCTAGGTGAGGGAACCCCCTATCCTAGGCTGGAAGCTGCACAGTCATCATCTCAGCCCTCAGAAGAGCTTTCCAAGGTGAGCAGACAGGCCTAGAAAAGGTTAAGTATCTTGCCCCAGGTCCCACGGAGATGCAGACCCTGGCCAGCTCCGGACCCTCACCCCCAGCCCTATTCCACACGCCTGCTAAGCTGCATGTGTGGGCTCCCGGAGGTGTGGGGGTCGGGGCACAGGGAGGGACGCCCTCAGGGAGGGAGACACACAGCTCGTCTAGGTTCTCTCAAGGCTGAGTCCCCAGGCCCTCTGTCATCTCTGCTCTCACAGGTCAAAACGCAGCTGCAGGCCCAGACGGTGGCCGCAATGGCCGTGGGGCACCAGCACCATCACCAGGTGGGGACTGTCACTACCCAGCGCTCCCTGGGCTGGGTGGGCTGGATGGGCTCCTGGGCTGGTCAGGGGCTGCCCAGTGACCCTGTGCCCTCTCCCTGCAGAGTGTCCTGGGCGCCTTGGAGACCATCTGGAGGCAGCAGGGCCTGGCAGGGCTGTGGCGGGGCGTGGGTGGAGCCGTGCCCCGAGTCACAGTTGGCTCGGCTGCCCAACTGGCCACTTTTGCCTCAGCCAAGGCATGGGTGCAAGAGCAACAGGTGAGGGGCTGGGGACACTTGCACCCACCCACAGACACACAGGAGTGAGGAAGGCCACCTGCCTCCTTTCTCCCTCTCTGTCTGGCCCACATCACTCCCCGACATCTCCAGCTATACCTCCACACGAGGAAGCCCAGGGGCTGGTGACAGATGTGGCCCCATAAGAAAGCTGGACGGGCCTGGCTTGGGCCCAGCAGGAATGAGGGTCAGCAGTGAACCCTGAAGCTGTGACGGAGCTCGGGGTGGTGGGGTGGGGAATGGCTGGAGGGGCCATTCCCCTCCCCCCCAGCGTTTCCAGCCCCCAGGTGCTGGGAGGGTAGGTTGAGGGCAGCTGCAGGGGTTGGCAGCCTGTACCATCCCCACAGTGGCTCCCGGAGGACAGCTGGCTGGTGGCCCTGGCCGGAGGCATGATCAGCAGCATCGCCGTGGTTGCAGTCATGACCCCCTTCGACGTGGTCAGCACGCGGCTGTACAATCAGCCTGTGGACAGAGCTGGCAGGGTGAGCTGGGGACGGAGTGGGGAGCATGTGAGGAGCTGGAGAGCACCCCCCAACACACACACACACAGCCAGAGACACACAGACATGTGACATACATGTAAACATGTTAATACAGCTTGTGTGCCCAGCACCCATGTCCCAGGCACGTGCTAAGTACTTTCACATCCGGATTTTAGTCCATCTTCACAACCACCTTCATTTTCCTGATGAGGAAACTGAGGCTCAGAGAGATCAAGTGACTTGCCTGAGCTCACGCAGCTGGTAAATGGAGGAGCCTGAACTGGAATCCAGGACCGACCCCATGGCCTCACAGACACACATAGGCCATCAGAGAGGCTGGGGCAGCTTGTGCTCAACACAAAGGTGCCCTCCACTGGGTGAGTTGGGATGCAGTCCACCTGTGTGCCGCTAGCCAAGGTGAGCTCCTTGGCATGGGACCGTGGCTGCCTGGAGGAAGAGACCCCTTTTATTTTTTATTTTATTTATTTTATTTTTTTATTTTTTGAGGAAGATTAGCCCTGAACTAACATCTGCTGCCAATCCTCCTCTTTTTCCTTAGGAAGACTGGCCCTGAGCTAACATCTGTGCCCATCTTCCTCTACTTTATATGTGGGACGCCTGCCACAGCATGGCTTGACAGGCAGTGCCTTGTGTGAACCTGGGATCTGAACTGGCGAACCCCGGGCCGCCGAAGTGGAACGTGCAAACTTAACCACCATGCCACTGGGCCGGCCCCTATTTTTTATTTTTTTATTTTATTTTATTTTTTAAGATTGGCACCTGAGCTAACAACTGTTGCCAATCTTCTTTTTTTTTTTTTTTCTGCTTTTTCTCCCCCAATCCCCCCAGTTCATAGTTGTATATTTTAGTTGTGGGTCCTTCTAGTTGTGGCATGTGGGGTGCCGCCTCAGCATGGCCTGATGAGCGGTGCCATGTCTGCACTCAGGATCCAAACCAGTGAAACCCTGGGCCGCCGAAGCGGAGCGCGAGAACCTAACCCAAGAGACCCCTTTCAAAACTTCGCAGCCTAAAGGGCCACCTTTTTGTAATTTGCCCAGCTTGGGGGGAGTGCCTTTTCTGATGTGCCAGCAGAAGCCCTATCCACACAGACATACCCATTTGTGCCAGCCAGGGCTCCATGGCCCCTGTAGTGACGTCTGCCCTGTGTCTGTCCCCAGGGCCAGCTGTATGGGGGCCTCACCGACTGCATGGTGAAGATCTGGCAGCAGGAGGGCCCCTTGGCGCTCTACAAGGGTCTTGGCCCCGCCTACCTGCGCCTGGGCCCCCACACCATCCTCAGCATGCTCTTCTGGGATGAGCTCCGGAAACTGGCCAGGCGGTGCCAGCACCAGGGCACCTAGATGGGGTCCCTCGCCCCCACATCCTGACACAGCCCAGCACTTGGCAGGAAGCGATGGCCCACTCCAGCTGGGAATGGCTGTCCCAGAGCCCTGCCACAGGTCTGGGGAGAATATGGACTGCTGCAGTCAACCCAGCCCTGTGGCCCACCCAGAGCCAGAGCATCTGCCCCAAATTACCACCCACTCTGTTCTCCAGAAAGTTCTCATCCCTCTCTGTACTGGGTTACCTTATCCCAGAGCCCTTACTCATTGTTATAATAACTGCTCCGGGGCACGAGCATCTCCACAAGCTGGGTCACTTACGTGCATCCACTTGCTTAGTCCTCGATCAACAGTCTGAGACAGTAAAATCCTTCTACTGATGAGGAACCTCAGGCTCAGAGAGGTGAAGTGCTTTGACCAAAGCCACACAGCTCTGAAGTGGCAGAGCCTGGACTGGAACTCAGCTCTGCCCACCCCAGACCTGTGCCCTTGGCAAGGACCAGGCCCATGAGGGCTGGCGTGCCCCTGGGGGATCCCTGTACACATGGGGATGCCCTGGGCTGCACCGTGAGGCCGTGCTGTCATCATCTGTGTTAGTCTGCTGGGGCCACCATCACGGAGTACCTCAGCCTGGGCGGCTTAAATGACAGAAAGGTACTGTCTCACAGTTCTGGAGGCTGCAGGTCCGAGATCGGGGTGTGGGCAGGGCTGGTTTCCTCTGGACCTCTCTCCTTGGCCTGTGGACGGCTGTCTCCTCCCTGTGTCTTCACATGGTCTTCCTTCTGTGCGTGGCTGTGTCCTCATCTCCTCTTCTCATAAGGCCACCAGTCATGTTGGATCAGGGCCACCCTAATGGCCTCCTGTTACCTTACTCACCTCTTTAAAGGTTCTTTCTCCAGTCACCCTCTCAGGTACTGGGGTCAGGACTGCAGTCTATGAACTGGGGGAGACACATTCAGCCCATAGCGTCAGCTAAGGGTTTTTACTGAAGGCCTCGTAGGTGCCCAGCACTGTGGGCTTTTGCACAGATCCTCATGACACTTCTGGAAGAGAGCTCCTGCCATGCCCCTTGTCCAGATGAGGAGGTGAGGCCCGGAGCAGGGAAGTGACTTGCCCAAGGGGAGTGGCAGAGCCAGGTGTCCTCATCGTGGGCCCTTTCCCCGAGCTGCAGCCACGCTCCCCCATGGGTGTGTTCCGAAGGCCCGCATGGACCGTTGTGCTACAGAGGTGGACACCCAGTCCCTGGAGGGGCAGGCCTGGCCGGGTCAAGCTGCCTGAACCACCTTCTCTGCACACCCTGCGTCTGTGAAGAGCGTCTCCCAGGGCAGCCCTACCACACTCCAAGCAAATAAAGTTTTCTATTTTGTTTACTTCAACAACTCTCCCCTGCTGCAGCCTCAGGCTCCCCACTCCTGAGCCCCCACCCTCGGCTCTCTCCTCGGAAAGGAGGATCCACAAGAATTGGGGCAGGCGAGCCCCACCCCGACCTGCCCAGGTGAAGCCTGCCACCTAGTGGACACAGGGAGAGTGGTCAGGGCAGGCTGCCCACAGCTGAGGACCCAGAGCTGGATCCCAACCTCAGGCTGTGGGGGAGAGACCCCCTTCCAGACCTCGGGCTGAGGATGCAGAGCCTGACCTCAGGCCGTGGGGGAGAGACCCCCTTCCAGACCTCAGGCTGAGAGCAGAGCCTGACCTCAGGCCGTGGGGGAGAGACCCCCTTCCAGATCTTGGGCTGGGAATGCAGAACCTACCCTTCAGGATGAGAGGGCAGAGCCAGGACCTAAGGCTGGGGGACACAGATGACAGGCCTGGGGCTTCAGGAAGGCACCATGTGGCAAGCCCTAGGGGAGGGTGAGAAAAGTGAGCTCCATTGGGGCTCGCCTGATGGCCTAGTTGTTAAGTTCATGCACTCTGCTTTCGTGGTCAGGGATTCACGGGTTCGGATCCTGGGCGCAGACCTAGCACCACTCATCAAGCCACACTGTGGCAGCATCCCACATAAAATAGAGGAAGATTGGCAAAGATGTTAGCTCAGCGACAATCTTTGTCAAGCAAAAAGAGGAAGATTGGGAATAGATGTTAGCTCAGGGCCAATCTTCCTCAACAACAAAAAAAAGAAAGAAAAAGAAAAGTAGACTCCAGACTTGAGCAGGGCCAGAGACTAGAGACCAGCCTCAGAGATGCCCCTTCATCCCATGCTGCCCAAACAAGAAACACCTGGGCAACCGGCAATGGCTGGCTCCCAGTGCCCCTTAACCCTGCAGCCGGAAGGTTTAAGGCCCTGGGCTCTCCTCCCCTCTCCACGCCTCCCTCCCCTGGGCTTTTGACCCCTCCCGGCCCCTCCCCTTGCCTCCACTGACACCTTTGCCCCGGTGACGGTGACGTTGGTCCCTCCGGTGCAGACCTGGCCGGAGGCTGGGACTGGATGCCGGCGGCCATGTTCTCCCTGCCGTCCCTCTCCTCCTGGCTCCCCGGCCTCCCCTCCCTGGCGTGGGGCTCCAGCCTCCTCGACTCCCTCCTGCAAGGTGAGCGCCGACACCGACTCCCGCTCCGCCCCGCCTCCTGGCCGCTATGGGCAGTGCAGGGTGGCCCCCACCCATGTGGGCCTCCTGCTGCCTTGGCTGCTCGGTCCTCTAAGCCTACCAGGCACCCCTGCCCTCCCTCCCGCCCCCAGGCCTCATCGGGGCCTGCGGAGTCTCAGTCCTCAACAGCCTCCTGAGGGTCTACTTCTTCGTGGGCTGCGCCAAGTGAGTGCCCCCTCCCCGGCCCACCCCCGGCCCCTTGCCAGGCCCCTGGCCCCGCACTGGGACTCTGACCTCTGGGGTGAGGCTGGGAGTAAGAGACCACCCCTTCCCACAGCGAGTGTGTCTGGGGCACCCAGACCCCCTCCAGGGCAGGGGCTGGCGGGTCTGCCCCTCTGCCCACGCCCACTCTGCCCCCACAGCAACCCGGAGCGGCAGCCCGAAAAGGAGCGGCTGCGGGCCCAGTGGGCCTCGCTGGAGACCCTGCACCTGGCAGGGCTGGCCCTGGTCCTGACCATCGTGGGCACCCGGGTGGCTGCCCTGGTGGTGCTTGAGTTCTCCCTCCGGGCTGTCTCCACGCTGCTCTCCCTGGACAAGGTGAGACCGCAGGGAGGTGGAGGGTGGTGAGGGCCCGGTGCTGGGCCCACTTGGAGCATCCCCCGTCTCCTCACTGCCCGCCCCCCTGTAAGATTGAGACTAGAGAGTGCACATTGCCGCCTTGGGGCGTGACTTCCAAAGCAGAGCTCCCCCAGAGTGGACGCAGCCCCAGTCTGAGAAGACAGTAGTGCAGCTCCTGGAGTCGAGAACCTCCCACGGGCAGGCACCGGGCTGGGTACCCAAAGGGCATCGTCCCACTCATCCTCACAACCACAGGGGCAGAGGTTTGCTGCAATCCCCATCTCACAGGTGGGGAAACTAAGGCTCGGAGCGGGTAAGTGGCTGGTCTGTAGTCAACGACAAGCAAGGAGTAGAGTCAGGCTCTGACCCCAGGTCTGCCAAGCTCTGAGCCACCACCCTTCAGCAGGCAGATGGGTCCCAAGTAATAAGCATGATTGAAATGAAGTTGAAAGAAATGACCATTAGGGCTTGACCGGAAGGCAGTATTCCCTCTTTGGGGACAATCCTCAAGGTTCCTTCAGGCTCCAGCCTCCTACCGAGTGGAGCATCTGTACCTTGACAGCCCTCTTGGTCCCCCATGGTGAGGGGAGGTCAGAGCCCCCATCGAGACCCCTCTTCTGCCACCTCCCCTCCCAGGGCTCCCAGGTCCCTGAGAGGCTGCAGCTGTACCTGCTGTGTCAGTACTCACTGGGCTGCGGCCTGACCTGCGGCCTGAGCTTCCTGCAGGAGGGCGCCCCTCACCGCACTCTGAACCTGCTGCTGGGCCTCGGGCTGGCCGCCCTGCTCTGCACGGGCGCCCGGCGCCTCCACAGCCACACCTGCCGCCTCTACGAGCTGCACAGCAGCCAGCACTACTGTGGGGTCTGCCTGGGACTGCTGGCCGGTGCTCACGGCCTCCCCCGGCTGCTGGGCCGAGCCCTGGCCGTGGCCTTTGTTGTGGGCAATCTGGCGGCCGTGGCCCTCATCAACAGGGACTTCCTGACCACCTCGGAGGCCGTGCGCTTCTGGACACCACTCACCATCTGCTACACCCTGCTGGTCATCCACATGCAGGGTAAGGGCCACGGGCAGGGGCCCAGGCAGCAGTTCATTCACTCCGCATTCACATCCCACTGTCTGACCCAGGCACAGCATCGTGCTCCGCCCCAGGGAGGCTGACAACAGTCAGACAATCCCCCTGCCATCCTGGAGCACTGAGTCTGGTGGCACAGGCCATACAGTGGGGCAGCTCAGAGAAGGGTGCAGCGTGCAATGGGAATCCTGAGGAGATAATACTTGAATGGGACCTTGAAGGATAAGCAGGAGCTCCCTGAGAGTGGTGAGGGGGGAAAGGAAATCCTGGCAGAGGGAACCTCATATGCTGAAGCCCAGAGGTGAGAGAGAGCATGGCAGCATCAAACAACTGGAAAAAGTTGAGTGTGGTTGTCCCCCCCAGGGCCCTGGGAGAAGATGAGGCTGGCCAGGTTCATAGGAGCCTGATGGAGAGCCCTCGTCAGCCAGCCTGGGCAGTCTGATGGGAAGCCATGGCAGGGTTTTAAGCAGGGGAGAGTGACCTGGTCAGATCTGGGCTCTAGGAAGAGCCAATAGGCTGCAGGGTGGGGATGGGGTGGAAGTAGCAGGCTGAGAAAGGGCAGTCAGGCAGAGACGGCAGCAGGTGCAAAGGCCCTGAGGTGGGAATGAGCTTGTCTTGCTCAATGAACAGGAACACGGGGAACAGCTCAGGGTAGTGAGCCAGAGGGAACAAGTCAGAGGTGAGATGAGGTTGGAGAGCAGGCACTGGTGAGATCGGGCAGGACCTCATAGGAGTTGGGAGTTTATTCCAAGTGCAGTGGGAAGTCCTGGGAGGGTTTATAAGCAGAGGAATGATTTCATCTCATTGATATGTTTAGAGGGTCATTAGCTGCTGAGTAGACACTGAGTTGCAGAGTCAAGAACAAAAGCCAGGAGGCTGCTGCGAGAGATGAAGGTGGGGGGGCAGTGCGAGTGGCGATGTGCTCAGGTGGGATGGGTGTGGATCTGTGAGGCAGAAAGAGTCGACAGGGCTTCCTCATGGATCAGACGTGGGAGCGCAGGGAAGAGAGGAGTCAGGACGCTGGCAGCTGGAGGCTGGGTGCTGGGCCCTGACTGCAGGACAGACCTCCGCAGCTGCTCAGAGGGCGGGGGTGGGCGCGGGGGCTGCAAGGGGAGGGGGAGACTCGCACTGAGGCAGGAGGGTGGGGAGCTGGACCTCAGGTTGGGGCCCAGGTGCACAGGCGGGCAGGTGTGACGGGCGCCCCGTCCCCCAGAGGAGCAGCGGCAGCGCCCCGGCCTGCAGGGCCAGGTCCAGACGGTGCTGGTGCGCATGGGTGGCCTCTTCGTGCTGCTGCTGACTGTGGGCTGCTGGCTGGACCTCCTGGGCATCCTCGTCTCCCTGCTGGGCGAGCTCTGGTGCCTGGTGGCCGTCCGCAACCTGCTTGACATTTGCCAGATACAGGTGGGCACCCTGAACCCGGCTGTCCCCAGACACTGAAGCCCTGTTCCAGATAGCCCTGGGAGCCTCGATGGGCCCAAGTTTCAGAAGAGCTGGGGAGACCTGTCTTGGGTGGGGGGCAGAGGGAGCTGGAATCCCCTCTCCGACCTGGTGTTAACCTTTGACCCCTCTGTAGCCAGGGTCACTAGGAGTGGGGAGTTGAGGGGCACCCCAACCCCATCCGCAGGCCACTCCATCCCATGCCCCAGCAGCCGTGAATGGGAGGAAGGTCCTGGATAAGGAGGCCTGAGAAGCCCCAGGGGATGGCGATTGGGTGGCGTCCTCCATCCTTCCCTCCCTGCCTCCCCTCAGGATTTTCCATCCCAGAGGCCTTCGGGGTCAGCTCCAAGCCAGCCCCAGCTCTCAGCACCTGCCCAGCCCCCAGGGACAGCCCCCTCCTGACCCACCTCAGCAAGGACCTGGAGTCTGTCTCAGGCCCACCAGGCTCACCTGTAGGCCTTGACCCCGGCATGCTGCCTGGAGGCCGAACGGCAGGGCTGGCCCTCACCCGGAGCTCAGGGTGGGCACTGGAGCCCCCCCAGAGGGAGGGCAGGGCTTAGGGCTGGGGTCCTCAGAGAGTGGGGGCACCTGGAGGCCACTGGGTGAACCCCTCTTTTTCTCAGGGTGGGTGATGGACTCAGCCCCTCAGACCTGCCTTCCCAGGGGGGTGGGGGATGGGGAGAACAGCATTCCCAGAAGGGCCCCCCTTTACCGGCCCCCCTTTACCGGCCTCCCTTGCCCTCTCCATGGACAATAAAGATGATTTTCTCAACCTGTGCTAAGAATCATGCACTCACAGAGAGGGAAAGAGCCTGTCAGAAGAACAGCTACCATGTGCTGAGCACTGTGCTGGGCTTTTTTTTTTTTTTCTGGTGAGGAAGATTGGCCCTGAGCTAACATCTGTGCCAATCTTCCTCTATTTTTTGTATGTGAGATGCCACCACAGCATGGCTTGATGAGCAGTATGTAGGTCTGTGCCTGGGATCCAAACCCATGAACCCCAGGCCACCTAAGCGGAGCATGCAAACTCAACCACTGTGCCACTGGGCTAGCCACTGTGCTGAGCATTTTTATTATCTCATTTTATTTTGACATCAGCCCCAAGAGGCAGGTACTGTTATCCCTTTTTACAGATTCAGAAACTAAAGCTCAGAGAGGTTAGGTGACTTGCTCAAGGGCACACAGCTAGTTAGTGGCAAAGTCAGGATGTGAATCTGGGTGGCCTGACCCCCAGAGCTCAAGTGCTTTGCATGTTCCCTGCTACCCTCTTCTCGTTGAAGAACTGGGGCCAAGGGAACCCACAGACGGGGGCATGAAAATGATAGCAGCTCCCTTCCCAGCAGGTCCTGGAATGTGGTTCTGGCCACCTGTTGAGCAGGGTGGCCTGAGGCTCTGTCACAGTCATGTTCTGGCCCAGGCACCCAGCCCACAGGGCAGTTTGGTTCCATGGGGATTGAGGGCCCCAACTCGGGACCCTTTCCCAGGAGGGGCCCCACGGGGCAAGGAGACTCCCAGGCAGGGGACTCCGACGGGGTAGTGAAGGTCCGGTTGTCTGGGAGAGGCGGAGGAGGCACCAGGGAGCAGGCAAGGCCTGGAGAAGGTTCTGGAAGGGTTCCAGGCTCTGATGGGTCCCCAATTCTCAGCAAAGGCCGCCATGGTCACCCAAAGGCTACTGCTTCCGGGCAGGCAGGGGCTGGCCTCGGATGCTCCACTCCCCACCCCGGGGCACACCTGGGATACAGGTGCAGGCTGGCCCCAAGGCTGGGCGGGGCAGTGTCCACTCATTCCTCCAGGAATGGCCACCCAACAGACAACTCGAACCCAACCAACCTCTGATCCCCTGCTCCCGCCCTACCGCCACAAGGGGCCTCCCAGCCCCGGGGCAGCTGAGGTGGGGGAAATGCCTGTGGATGCCCCTCCCCCAATACAGGACCCAGCTCCCCCTCTGCCTGGGAGTGTGTCCCGCTCCCTCTGGGCAGGAAACTTGCCCCAGTCCAGGAGGAAACGGCTCAGTCAGGCGGGCACGGGGCCAGCCCCTTGCCAGACCCAGACTGGGCACCTGGTTCCAACTCAGGCCTGATGTTTTTGCTGGAAGGTTCCCCGGCCTCCCAGCCCCTAGCACAGCCTGGGACCCAGTGGGGGCGGGGCTGGGAGGGGATTGGACTTGTCAGTCCTTTCCTTTTTATGGGCACAGGGACTGTTTTCCAGACAAAAATTGGGCCACGTGAGCTGGAATAAGATTCTTTTCTTATCTATTAAATTTTTTGTGAAAAGTCTGACATGGGTATAAAAATTAGATCATTCTAAGTGAGGCATTCAGCAAATCTCCATGGCAAACAAAGAAAAATAGGCCCAAAGTCTGCAGGGCAGAGGAAGTCTGGCAGGTGTGGTCTGGAACGGGAGCATGAAGCTCCGGCTTGTTCTCACAGAGACCACAAGAGCCCGAATCCTGGGCCCCGATCAGCATCCTTCTGAAGATGGGAGAGACCAGAGGCTCCTGTCTCTGCGAAGAGGGGACAGTGACTTCTGGGGCAGCTAGGTTTGGGGTGAGCCAGGCTCCTCCCTCCTGAGCTGCCCACTGTGGCTTTTCTGTCCCTCTGGACATTCTGAATGCCTTCCCCGAATCATTCATTCACAAGTAATTACTGAACATCTGCCTGGGGCCAGGCACTGGGGATGAGCAAGACGTGCAAGCAGCCATTGGTGCTGCAGAGAAAAATAAAACTGGGTGAGGGGCAGAGTGACGGGGGCTGGGGCCTCAGGAAGGTGTGTTTGTTATCTACAGCTGTGTAACAAATGACCCCAAAACTCAGCAGCTTAAAACAAAAGATATTTATTGTCTGTCCTTTTCTGCAGGTTGGCATCTGGGGGCCACCCAGCTGGCTGCCCTGGCTCGAGGTCTCTCACAGGCCACCGTGGAGGCATGGGCTGAGGCTGCGGTCTCATCTTAAGGCTTGGCCAGGGGACAGTCCACTTCCAAGCTCACTCACGTGTCTGTTGGCAGGATTCAGTTTCCCGTGGGCCGTTGGACGGAGGGCCTCAGGTCCTCTCTGGCTGTTGGCCGGGGCCTCCCTCAGTCCTTGGCCTCTCCAGAGGGGCGCTCACAGCATGGCAGCTGGCCTCCCTCAGGGCAAGTGACAAGAGAGAGAAGACAGGACAGAAGTCACAGTCTTGTAACCCGATGTTAAAAGCAACATCCCACTGTTTTTGCTGCATTCTATTGGTTAGAAGCAAGTCTCTGGGTCTAACCCACCCCAGAGAGGAAGGGATGACACAAGGGCATGGCAAAAGGCAGGGATCCCTGGAGGCCACTTGAGAAGCTGCCTTCCAGAGAGGGCTTCTTTGAGTCCATCCTTCTGAATGGACTGAGGAGCAAGCCAAGCAAAAAGCTGAGGGGAGAACATCCCGGGCTGAGAGGACAGCACGGGCAAAGGCCCTGAGGTGGGAAGAAGCAGGGGATACTTTAGGAACAGAAGGAAATTCAGCATGGCTGGAGCATCACAGAGAGGATGGAGAGGCAGGAATGCGGTCATGGAGGCGGCAGGGCCTCAGGGTCACGGCGAGGGTTGGGATGTCATTTCCCTGTGTTGGGCAGCAAGCGGGCAGTCTGCACAAGGAGGTGACATGATCTGACTTACATTTCTAAAGGATTCCTCTCCTTGCTGTTTTTCGAATCAACAAAGTAGAAACAGGACACCAGTTTGAAAGCATCTGGAATACCCCAGTGAGACGATGGCGGCGTGGACAAGGTGTAAGGTGTGTGGAGGTGGAGGTGGCCAGAAGTGGCTGGATACTGGACGCATCTTGAAGCGTTGATAGGATTTCCTGATCAATTAGATGTGGGCTTGAGAGAAAGAGAGGCATCGGGGAGTTCTTAGAGTCGTTCAGGCCAAAACAACTGGGTGAACGAGACGGGGGCCTCCGGGCACGGAGCAGGGTTAGCTCACGCAGTGTGGTCTGCGGGGATGGAAGGTCCAGGTGCTGTGAGAGGTGGGCCGTGGTCTGGGGTCAGGGAGGCCTCGCTGAGAAAGAGCTGTGGCAACCGAATCCTGAAGGTCAAGGGGAAGTTCCCAGGCCAAGGGGTGGTGCTGGAGCCCAGGCAGGTGTTAAGGGTCCTGAGTGGCCAGGGGGACTGAGGAAGGGGCAGCATGGCTGGAGCAGAAGGGGCGAGGGGCACAGTGGTGGGAGATGCTGTCCCGGGGGTGAGCTGGGGCGGGATCACCCAGGGCCAAGGGGGGGCTGGAATCTTCCTGGAGAGCAGCGGGGGCCACAAACGGGCTGTGCTCTGGTCCGCAATGTCCATGTGCTGCTTTAGCGCAATGGTCTGACCGGAGCAGAGAATAGACAGTGAGGAGTAAGAGCTGGGCCAGCCCAATTTTAAGGGTCTCCATATAAATTTATATGAAAGTGAATACTGATTGAGCACGAGAAAGGAAAGTACGACAACCTGTTGGAGCCCTGCAGATCTGGCTCCGTTCTCTGACATGTCTCTGGGCAGCTGGCCAGGAACACTTAATGGAAAACACTTCCTGAGTGTAACCTGGCTGCCCTTCCCTCCTGGAACACTACATAACTCCCAGCAGCCCCCAGCCCTCTCGGGGCCCCGGCCTGAGTGTAAGTTTCCTTAACTTCCCAGTGAGCCCACCTCGAGCGGAGAGAGAAGTGGGGAGACGGCTAGGGGCCGTGGCAGACTCCGGGCCACGTTACCTTTTAGTAAGAGGGTCTCAGGGACTGAGGGTGCAGAGATAGACACTGCCAGAGAGTGGTGAGACGTTGGGCAGATGCTGCTAGGAGGGGAGGCTCCCAGTGAGGATAGGGGCTCAAGGAGTGGGTGGGATCAGTGAGGGAATAAGGGTTCTGCCTTGGTAAGCAGCCAAAGGCTTGGGGTAGACCCTCCAAAGTGAGTGACACCAGGATTTCCTCCTCTGTCCACAGAAGGGGCTCTGACCTTCAAGGCCTGGGTGAAGGAGGGGTCCTCCCGGCCCGCTGAGCCTCAGGCCTCCTCCAGGGCGCACCCCACGCTTCCCCCCGTCGCTCTGGAGCCTGTGCAGATTTGCTAAGCGGAGGGCCTGGCCGTGGGAACCAGCAGGTCCAGCCAGAGCCAGCTCAGGCCCCTGGACCAGGAGGGGATTAAGACCCAGACGTTGTTGTCACAGCCAGGTCTGGGAGGTTGGGCCCTGTCTGGCCCAAGTGGACACAGGCTTGGGGACTGAGAGCGGGGGACTCCTTGTGGCTATAACTGTGGCTCAGTTAGAGCTCCCTTGGTTTTTGAACATTTCCCCAAAACTTGGCCTGTTCAGTGAAGGGGCTTGGAGCTACACTACCTGCATTTGAATCAGGCTTACTAATGGGTGTGACCTTGAGGAAGTTACTCTCTGTGCCTCCATTTCCGCATTTGTTGAGAGAACTGAACAAAATGATGGAGGCAGGGCACTTAGCCTAGAGCCTGACCGTGGCCACTAGTGCCCCCCATTCCCAGAAGGGACTGCAACTCAGTGTCAGCAACGCCCTTCTGATGTGAAGGGTCAATGACATGCTCGCGTAAGGGACTGGGAAGGAGGCACTGGCTCAGGTGGCAGAAGCAGGAACGGAGCTCAGGGAAGGAAGGAGACGAAGAGGCACCCGGCCTCCTCCATCCTCAAGTCCAAGAGGAGCACGTTTACATTTCGTTTGCAAAGAGCTGTTGATAGGACAGCTCCCTAGGGAGGAAGCATAACCCCGTGCTGCCCATTTTCTTGCCCTGTCTTCCCCCAGCCTTCAGGACCACCTCGTGAGGAGCTGACCCTTGTTTTCTCCTCAGCAGAAAACTCAAGGTCAGAGAGATGAAGTGACTTGCTCAAGGTCTCAGAGCTAATATGTGGGGGAACTAGGATCCAAATTCAAGTGGGTCTGACTCCAAACCCCAAACTCTTAACCGCTCACTACCCTTTACTAGTTCTCGCCTGATGTGCATATGTAGCTACTTAAGACTCCCTACTCGAACATTTTGTAGGAATTACTGAGACCTTCCTATATGCTAAGCCCTGTGCTGGGTGCTGGAGACACGGAGAGTAATAAGACACAGCCCTGCTCCCATTCTGTGGGGGGGAAGCATATTGGTGCAACCCAGCAGCCTCGGGATGTATCCACGGGATGGACACCGCTCCTAAGCCTGTGTGGAGGAATCAGTGCGGGCTTCTCAAAAGTGGTGACAGGGCTGCAGAGTTTGCCAAGAAAAGGAGGTGATCCGAACCCATCTAGTCTTGCCAGTCCTCATCATGACTCTGCTTTAAGCAACAGAACTATAGTTTTAACTGGTTGAAGGAAAAGCAAGAGAAAAGAGAATGTACTGGCTCCAGAGGTCCAGAGGGAGGACTTCAGGCATGGCTGGATCCAGCAGCTTAAGTGATGAAATTAGTTCTCTCTCCTTCTCTATCATCTTTGCTCTGCTGTCTTCTGTGTTGGTCCAAGTGGTGACAAAAAGGGTGCCAAGCTTGCATCCTGCCAGCCTGGAAAAATACTGCCTCTTTCTAAATCATTCCAGTCAGACACTGAGAGTAGGGGTGAGGTTCCCCAAAGAAAAATTGGGTGCTGTTACCAGAATCTGGGAAAGTGATGCTAGCTGACAGGACCATGACGTCCCTTAGCTTCTCCACTGGAATCAAGACTCTTCCTTACCTTCAGCACTTTGTCCATCTCCCTATAATATCCTAACACCTCTGTCTTCTGTACGATGGGAAGAGTAAGGGAATTCACTTCTGAACACCTACTAAGCACCAGGCATATTTATCCACATTCATCCCATCAATCGTCAGAATGAAGCCACAGGGAGCTACTGCTACCCCCAGGTTACAAGAGGAAACTGAGGCTCAGAGAGAAATGACTTGCTCAGGGTAACAGGCTGGCAAGTGGCAGAACTGAACTCAGATACTGATGTAACTCCTATCTGTGTTGCCCCCCACTGGCCCCTGCTAGTGTGGGGCAGCTCCCACTTCTCTGCACCGCTGGCTGCACCGGCTGCCCAGCCCCTAGCACAGGGCCCTACACACAGCAGGTGCTCAGGAAATCAGTGTTGAACTGACCTGACTCCCAGCAGTGAGAGTGCGCCTCTCACTCCACCCCGGATGTGCCACTTCTGCAGCTGCGCATCCGGGCCCCCCAGGCTGGGGCTGCCGGTTCTGCTCTGACCTGGCCCAAGTGGAGCCTGTCAAGGAGAAGGGCAGCTGGACCGATGCTTCCCTCCCTTGGGGTCGCTGGCTCCCTGGGGACTGTGGCTCAGGGAGCCTCAGAGGAAAATCACAGGACCCAGGAGGGGAGGGCACCTCCGCACCACTTTCCCCAGGCTTGTCCCTGTTCTTGGATGGAGCTGCAGAGCAAACGGACCGACTGTGTGAGCAGAGAGCTCTGGAAACCAGGCGAAGGTGACTTGAGGACAGGCAGCCCCAGCCTTGGTGGGGCACCAATACAGGCCAGGCCCTGGTGTGCCCTTTCAGGGCCTGTCCCCTGCAGTTCTGCAGAGGCCTTCACGCCCCCATGTGAGGGCAACCAGTCGAGCTTCCCAATGTTACAGGTGAGGGAACTGAGCCCCGAGAGGGAAGGAACCAGTCCAGGGTCACGGCCGGCTCCAGAGAGCCAGGAGTCAGGCCTCCAAGCCCGTATTTTCCCTACCATCTCCCTCCCCCGGAATGTCCTCCCTGTTCTTCTCATGGCTGGCTCCTCCTCATCTCGGCCTCAAAGTCACCCCCCAGAGGCCTGCCCCACCCTCCCCTGCACCCCTGATGCTGTCTCAGCCCCTGGTCTCGCCTTCAGAGCACACTGCATCACTGGTAATCATTACATCAATTTGCGTTGTGCGTCCTCTCCCCACCTCCCTGTAAGTCTCGTGAGGATAGGACTGATCGCACTGACTGGATCCCTGCAGGCTCCTTGACTCGCACCGAGCGCAGAGGAGGCGCCCAGCCAGCGCTCTTTGGATCAAGGCCTCCTCCGTGAGCAGCAGGTGCCACGCTCGCCAGCAGACTGGGCAGCAGCAAACATCCCCACGGCCCTGGATCTCGCCCCCTAAACCTCTCTCGTGCCCCTTCCCTGCCACCCAGGGTCTCAGCTGCCATGACCCTCAGAGGAGGCTGAGCCCCTGCTCAGTGGCTGGGGAGAAAGCTGGGTCCGGGGGCTGCAGGACAGGAGGAGGGGGCGGGCCTCTGAGCTGGCAGACAAAGGGCGTGTGTTCTCATCCAGTGCACTTCCTGGGTTTCCATGGCAGGAAGCTTGGCACCTGCCGAGGTGACACCGACACCCGGGCTGGTGCGGGAGATACTTGGCCGGGACGCTCCTCTTTACCTGGGAGCAGTGGCAGAGGTGGGACTAGTGGCCAGGGGTGCTGCGTGGCAGGTAAGTAGTGGCAGCTGGACCCCCGCACCTGGACCTTGCCCCTTCCCAAGCCCGTCTTAGCCCAGAACAGATGTGGGGAGGCCTGGGTCCTAGATGGAGTCAGCGTGACCTTGGACAAGGCCCCAAATCAACTCTTCGGTGCCTCCTTGTCCCCCCTCAGGGGGACTTGGAGGATATCACTGGAGGTGAGGGAGGGCTGCTGCTGCTGCTTTTCTTTTGGTGAGGAAGATCGACCCTGAGCTCACATCTGCTGCTTTTCTTTTGGTGAGGAAGATCGACCCTGAGCTCACATCTGCTGCTTTTCTTTTGGTGAGGAAGATCGACCCTGAGCTCACATCTGTTGCCAATCTTCCTCTTTTTGCTTGAGGAAGACTGTCAAGCTGAGCTAACATCTGTGCCAATCTCACCTATTTTGTATATGGGACGCTGCCACAGCATGGCTTGATGAGCAGTGTGTAGGTCCACGCCCCGGATCCGAACCTGTGGACCCCGAGCCATTGAAGCAGAGCACACGAACTTAACCTCATGCCATGGGGCTGGCCCCAGCAGCTCCATTTTTCTCTGTCTTAAATAAGCTTCTGGGTCACAAAGCACTTGAAAAGGGGGTTCTACAGCCATAAGTGTCTGAAAACCCCTAGACCGCACCTTCCTCCTTAAGGTCCTTCCCATCTCTGGCGTTCTGGGGCTCCCTCCTTCCGCCGGGGAGGGGTGTAGGGAGCTTTGGCTCCAAGCAGTGCTGCAAAGTGGGAGGGGGCATTGCCAAGCCTGGGAATGAGCCTGGCCAGGGACGGGGGCGGCCTTGGGGGCGAGTCTCCCTCTGCCGAATGGGGAGGGAGTCCCCTCTCTCTGCATCCGTGAAGGGTGGCCATTGCGCCGGCCCCTTGGGCCAGCAGAGCCCTGTGTGTGCCCAGGGGCACCTGCTAGTCTGGGTTTGAATCCAGCTCTGCCACTTGCCCCTTGTGTGGCCTTGAGCCTTTCTGGGCCTCAGTTTCCTTGTCTGCGAAGCAGGAATAGTCAGCTCTCTGCCCAGGGCTCTCCTGGGCTTTAAATGGAAAGGTCTGGAGGCCAGGCACTGCACACAGGAAGCCCCTACAAACGGCAGCTACTGTTATCGCCATGTCATTGCAGGGTGGCTGTGAGGATGGAATGAAAAACTGGATGTCGGGGGGATGGGAGAGGTGACAAAAAGGGCTGAGGGATTTAGGGAGGTGGGAGAAGGAGCATGGGGCAGGACCCCCATGAGCCAGAGCCCCTCAGGAGCAGCCCCAGAGCCATCCTGGCCAGGGCAACTGCAATTTCGGGGCCGTGGAGGAGAAGCCGACCCTGCCTGGCCTCCCCCAGATGGCGCTGGGCCCCACGCTCCCCTGGCCTCAGCGCCTGTGGCTTTAATCAAAAGAACAATCTGCCTCTGAATCAGACCCAGATTCCTTTCCCAGCAACGTTCCCGAGGCCTCCAGGGACCCAGGCGGCCCATCCTGGCTCCACCTCCCCACCCAGGGCCCAGGCTCAGCCTCCCTCTCCCTCCTCCACGTTTAGGGGGCGAGGGGTAAGGGAGGGGGGGGTCGGGGTGCAGGAAGTGGGAGAGGGTCAGTGACAGGGCCCAGGGTGGCAAACCAGGTGACCTGATTGCCAGCTGGGCCCTGCCCACCAGGCCTCCTAGAAGGGCTTGTCCCCCAGGACCCTGGGACCCACCTGCAGAGGGCTGAAGGGTCCAGACAGGTAGTGACACCTCAAAACAGCAAATCCAGGTGACCTGCTCCACTGGGGCACCCCCTAAAAGAGCCCCAAGTCCAGCATATACTGACCCCTGACTGTGTGTGCTCTTCACTGTCATTATCACCTTTTATCCTCAGGCTGACCCGAGAGGTAGGCAGCCATGGCCCCCACTTTACAGACGAAAAAACTGAGGCCTGGGAAGGTAGAGTGGCCGCCAGGGGTCAGACGGTTAGCGATCGGCCGTGGAGCTCAGGTCCACCTGACTCAGGACCCTGGGAGATCCCAGGCCAAACTGAGATGGAAGCACCCCTCCCCGCGACAGGGCGGGTGAGGCCACCAACCCAGGTGACCCAGAGGAGGGGGAGGGTAAGGACCACTCAGGGTGCACAAAGGACCTGGGGGTTGGGCAGCGGGAGAGGCCGCCCACCCTCCAGGGGAAGGGAGGAGTGGTTGAGGGAACAAAGGGAGGAGGAGGGGGCGGCGCGGGGCGCGGCCGGGCAGGTTGGGGGGCAGGTAGGGGCCGCCTCCGCCGGGCGGGCATCCCGGGACCCCTCCCGGAGCGTCACCTTTTATGGTAAGGCGGCCCGGGCGGCTGGGCGGAGGGAGGCGAGGGGCGGGGAGGGCGGAGCGGGCGGGAGGCGCCGCGCTGCTCCCGGCTCTGCTGGCTAGGGCGTCGGACCGGAGCCGCCGGGGGCGCGGGCGGCCCAGGTAAGCGGGGCGGGGGCGGGGGTCCCCTCCTTCCATCCCTGCCCCTGCCACACACAGGTGACAGCGCGGGCAGCCTGTGGCCAGAGCCCACCCCGCCCCCCGGCCGGGACCCCAGCCCCGGCGCTCCGGGAGGGGGCCTGCGGGACGCCGGGGAGGGGGCGCAGTCCCTCCGTCTCGGTCCCCGGAGTGGGGGAGAGGGCTGGTGTCCCTGCCCGGGAGCGGGGCGCCAGGGAAAGGGGTGGGCAGGGCGGAAGCTCCCGCACAAAGAGGACAGCGTCCCGCACATGGATCGAATTAAAGTCCCCGGCGGCGCCCCACAGTGACCCGGCCAGCCGCCCTGCTTGGCTGCTCGCGGGAGGGCGCCGGGTTTCCGGAGCTCCGGGCCCCTTTACCCGGCCAGGGTCAGGCGGGGGGAAGGTGGGGGCGCAGGGCTGCCCCTCTCTGGGCCTCAGATGCGGTCTGGGGCCGGGAAGGGGTGGGACTGGGCAATCCCCAAGGTGTGTGCCCCGGGGCATCTTGGCGTACGTCTCCAGCCCAGAGCTGAGGACCCCGGGAAGAGGCTGGGCAGCGCCTAGACCCGTGCTCATAATAATGATGGAAGCTAAGTCCGGTCCTTCCGGACCCTCAAGGAGCCCAGCCCCCAGGGGCTCCTCCACCCCTCAGGGGCTGAGTGACCTGCTGGCCTTCTCTTTGAACATACCGCGTACCAAGGTCTTCAGCACTGTCTCTTTTTACCCTCTCAGCCACCCTTCTGGACAGACCTCATTCTCACTTTATGAAAAAACTGAGGCCCAGAGAGGTTTAGTGACCAGCTCAGGATCACCCAGCAGGAAAGAGGTGGGGCCCCGTGTGAACCCAGCTTTGTGTGCCTCCTCCGCTTCCCTGGGGTGGGAGAGAGGGAGAGGGAACCCCTATGCAAGGCTGCAAGGGGCGCGGTCTCTCTCCCACTTCCAGCAAAGTTTAACCCGGAACTCAAGCATAGACTGCTTTATCCGAGTGTTAGAGAACACAGCTTAGAAGTGGTTCCAGAGTTTTTTGGAAGTAGTTAGAAGTAGGTAGGGGGATAGTGCGGGGCGCGGGGCGCTGCCGGGAGCCCCTGGAGGCCCTCCCGCTCAGCCAGCCGGGCCCCTGCCCTGGGCTGCAGCTGAAGCGGAGCTGGGTGGGTGGCTGGACTCAGCTCCTTCCTTCCTCTTGACAGGAAATGACTTTCCTTCCCTTTGTTCCCACTTTCTCCCATCACCCTACTGGATCTCAGATTCGCCCTCTGGGGGAGGCAGGGTGGGGGGTCCCCTGGGTGCGGCTGGCTGGGAGGCCGCCCCGCAGGGAGCTTTCTCGCACATACCCCGCTCCAGGGTGACCTGGGGGCAGTAGGACCAGAGAGCAGCCAAGGCTCCCTTTCCCGCCAGGACCTGGCCTGACTGACGGGGCTTTGAAAATCCCCAGCTGGGCCCCTTCCCTGGGGCCTCAGGTCCCTGCAGGCACCACAGGGCGGGACTGCGGGGGGCGGGGGGGGGGGGGGGGGGG